ACTCTGTGTCATCTGGTATTAATTCAGCAGTTTCAATATGCAAGATAACTCTTTCTGCATATTGTGAATCTGTAACTATATTAAGAGGTTCTTTAATTCCCTTAGCACCATAAGAATGGCATATAGTTCTGCCTTCTGGACAGAATTATAAGGGCTTTGTTCCACCTTACTCAATTCTTCTGATTTATAACCTGCTTTCCCTGACTTATTTGCATCAGTATAAAATGTCTGGGCTCCAGTTATTGGAGCATCACGTACAATTCTAGGAAGAATCCAAGAAGTTCTCTTTATGAGGTTAAGTCTATTACTTTTGGGATAGTTGCTGTTAATTTCTCCCAAAAAATTAGCACAAGCTCTTTGCCATGGTTCATTATCTTCCCATAACTTTCTTATTTCCTCAGTAGTAAAAGGCACTATAATTTCTGCTGGGTCTATACCTGCTAGTTGACGAAGTCTCAGTTTACCTTTTATAATTAACTCAGAGACCTTTTCTACATAAGTTTTTAATTTTTTACTTGGTTTATGAGGTATAAATATCCATTCTAAAATAATATCTTCCCTCTGCATTAAAATCCCTGTAGGAGAAATTCTGGAAGGCAGTATGACTAGGATGGAACTAAAATTCGGGTTCACCCTATCCACATGTGCCTCCTGTAATTTTTCCTCAATCATTGTCAGTTCCTTTTCTGCTTCAACTGTCAATTTTCTGGGACTATTCAAATCTTTATCACCATCTAAGGTTTTGTTTAAATGAACTATTAGATCAGGTGTTATCCCAACAGCTGGTCGTAGACTGGAAATGTCACCTAACAATCTTTGGAAGTCATTAAGAGTCCGTAACCGGTCTCTTCTAATTTGTGCCTTTTGCGTTCGAATTTTCTCTAACCCTATTCTGTAACCTAGGTAATTAATAGAATCTCCTCTTTGAATCTTTTCAGGGGCAATTTGTAATCCCCACCTAGGCAAGACTTTCTTTACTTCTTCAAACATACTTTCCAAAGTATCTTTATTTGAATCAGATAATAAAATGTCATCCATGTAATGATAAATTATGGACTTGGGAAATTGCTTACGAATTATTTCCAATGGCTTATTAACAAAATATTGGCACAATATAGGACTATTGAGCATCCCCTGTGGGAGGATAGTCCATTGATATCTCCTAGTAGGCTGAGAATTATTATAAGTAGGCACTGTGAAGGCAAATTTTTCTCTATCCTTTTCTTGCAAAGGTATAGTGAAAAAACAATCTTTCAAAATCAATAACTATAAGAGGCCATCCTCTTGGTAATAGAGAAGGCAAAGGAATTCCAGATTGTAGCAGACCCATAGGTTGAATTACCTTGTTGACAGCTCTTAGATCTGTCACCATTCTTCATTTACCAGATTTCTTTTTTACAACAAACACAGGAGAATTCTAAGGGCTGGTTGATTCTTCAATATGGTTAGCATCTAGTTGCTCTTGTACGAGCTGTTCCAAAGCCTGGTCAGCTAGAGGCCACTGCTTGATCCATATTGGCTTCTCAGTTAGCCATTTTAAAGGTAGGGCTGTTGGTACCTTTAAAGGTTTGCTATTGGCTGTATGTTCTTGTACAGCCTAAATGGCTGGTGACCTTTTTCCATAATACCTCATTATATCCTTCCCAGAATTGTGAGTTCCTGGAACTACAGGAATGTTAATCTGGGTATTCCATTGCTGTAGCAGGTCACGGCCCCATAAATTTATTGCAATATTGGCTATATATGGCCTTAGTCTTCCTATTTGCCCTTCAGGCCCTATGCATTCCACCCATCTTGTGCTTTGTTTTACATGAGATAGGGTTCCAATTCCCAGGAACTGAACATCTACCTTTTGAAGAGGCCAATTTGGATGCCAAGTTTCTGGAGTAATGATACTTACATCTGCACCTGTGACTAATAAGCCTTCAATAAAAATGCCATTTATATAGACTCTTAGCTTTGGTCTTTGATCGTTAATAGAAGTCTGCCAAAATATACGTTTACTCTGTCCTACTGAATTTTTTGACTCATTCTCCACATGTAATTCATCATTTCAACCAGTATTACTTTTTACAGCAGACATTGGAGTTTTCAGTTTTCTTGGTGAGACACATTTTCCACTGTAACTGGGAATGACTGGGCCACTTTTGGCATGGGGGCCTGTGAGAGGCCCCTCAAGGAGTTTCCCGATGGTATCGGGTTGCCTTGTCTGTCTGTTGTTGATCTGCATTCGTTGGACCAATGTCGGCCTTTACCGCATCTCCTACATATACCTGAAGGCTGAGATCTCCTACTTTTGTCATTCCCAGAGGAGATATTATTCCTAGAATTTCTTTGCCTGCAATCCCTTTTCAGATGTCCTAATTTACCACAATTAAAACACCTGGTAGTTTGATGTCTCCTCATAGCTTTGGAAATCTCTTCTCCTACCTAGGATTCATCACTATAACTAAACGTCTCAACATTCATTGTATGCTGTATCCATTCTTCCATAGGTGCTGATCTAGATCTTAAAGGCCCAATTATCTTTTTACATTCTTTATTTCCATTTTCAAAAGCTAGAGATTCAAGAAGTATTCGTCTAGCTTCTGGGTCTGTTACCCCTATGTCCAGAGCCTTAATTAATCTTTGCACAAAGTCAGTAAAAGGTTCTCTCTGTCCCTACCTAACCCTGGTATATGATTCGACCCTTTTTGCTGGATCTTGTATTCTATTCAAAGCATTCAAGGCTGCTTTGTGACATAAGACCAGCACTTCTTCATCATAAAGAGCTTGGACCTGTGGATCAGCATATGCTCCTACATCAAGAATTTGATCTTGGGAAACCTCCACACCTTTTGCTTTTCCTTGCTGTTCCATATGTTTGGATTCTTCTCTGAAATAAATTCCAAACATCAAGGAAGGTCCATCATCTAAAACTGCAGACACTAGCTGAGAGAAATCATGGGGGGTAGCTCTGACATTAGAAGCCCAAGTCCTTATCATTTCCTTAACAAATGCAGAGTGCAAGCCATAATTAAAGACAGCTTGCTTAATTTCTTTTAAATCATTCATTGCTATTGGTGTCCATCTAGCTTCTTTAACTCCCTTTGAGCCTTTAGAAGTTGACTCTGTCAGAATAAATTACAGGGTATGTCATTAGAACCTTGGGTAAGCCAGTTCTAACAGCTGGTGGTGGCATTGTATCCTGTCCTTGTGCCTTCTTTCTCTGTTCACCAGCTCCAATAATTTCTTCATTCATTTCTAATCTTTTTATCATTGTCTCCCTTAAATCCTGAATCTCCTGACCTACCCATGTTTCTAGGAATTTCACTAAGGTATCAGTTTTTTGGTTCCCATTCTGGAGGTACATTCTATCTGTTACCTTATCAAAACTTTGTGGTAACGTCTGAACGTCAAATTCAACAGCCTGAACCCTTTCAGGTAACTTCCTAGTACCCTTGGATATGGAGTCAATATTGTCTATCATAGTATCCACTTGTTCAGATAACCCCTGATTTTCAATAATTTTAATCCTTTCAACTAGTTGTTCATTATTAGTCCGTAAAAATCATATCTTCCTTAAAGATAAAATATTGAAAAGAAAACTGAAACCTAGTACCAAGTAAATTAATTTATCCCCATAGTCATATAAACCTTGCATGACATAATCCATTGTATTAATAAAGAAAACAGTAAAATTGGTGTTGGAAACAAAAACTGCCATATTACCTCTTGTCTAGTAGGCAGCGCTGTTGCCAAGTCGCGACTAGAACCACTGCAGAGGTGACGGAAACAGGGTCCTGTTTCAGTGTCCGCCTTAGTATTTGTTAAAAACTAGGAAATATAAGTTGCTCAAGAAAGAAAATGTAGTTAAATCAATTCCATACACGGAACCAGAAACCCAGAATCCAGGGGTAGAAAAGAGCAACCTGGAAGCCACGTATGCCTCTATGTGACTGAGTCGTTCTGATTCATGCCACTAAAGCGCCGCACTTACAAGGGAAATTTAAAAACAACTCAGAAAAGAGCAAACCAGGCAGGCAGAGACTGTCCCGAGCCTGTGGAGCTTGGGAGGTGTGGGTTTAATTGAACTGCTGGCTCCACACACAGGGCACAGGCCGCAGCTGAGGGAGGGCTCGTGACTGCCGAGCTGGCGGCAAGCAGTTGAGTAGGGGGGAGGGGGGGTTCTATAACCAAACATGGGGCGCCAGATGAAGGCGTAAGTCATAGACAATCCCACACCAGTTTGGAATTATGATTAATAGAATGGTCATTTATTCAAAGGGGAAAAAACTTACAGATTACCATCCCAGACAACAGCCCCTCCGCATGAACAGGAAAGGAGTCTAGGAGCCGGAAGCAGAGCCGGAAGCCAGAGAGAGAGTGAAGGACAGCTGCTGCTTTTTAAAAGAGAGACCACGCCCCAATGGGCTGGTATCTCAGTGGCGATTGGCTGAAGAAGCAGAAGGAGCTCCCGCAGCACAGGACTCAGTTGGGTTCCCAGCACCCACAATGAGCAGCTCACAACCACCCTTACCTCCAACTCCAGGGTATCTGACATGCTCTTCTGCCTTCAGTAGGCACCTTCATGCAAACTTGTACGCCTACACATATACACACAATGAAAAGTAAAATTTCAGCTTTTTTGAAATGTTTGGGAACTCTGACTTTTAAAAATCTAAACTTCAAGGAAAAGTGTTATTTTTGTGGTGTTGAGGATTGGACTCAGGCCCTTGAGTATGCAGGGAAGCTGCTCCACTGATCTGCGCTCCCAGTTAGGAAATTATTTCTTGTGATTACCCAGGGGTGAGGGCATATGTTCTTAAAACAGTTCAGAAACTTCTAAGACATATTATTAAATATTTTATTTGTTTTGATATTTGAAATTTGGTTGTTCATTTATGCTATATTCAATGTTTATCTAACCCCCAAATCCCTAATTGTTAACTATTCCAAATAATAGTTTGTCATGTTAATATGAATAAATTATGAATCTTGTGTTTTTTTCCATGGCTTAGTGTTGCCGGATGCTATTGAGACACTCCACGATCTCAGCAAGGACCAGATGGATGTTCCTCACTTGTGGGACATGCTGTCTAGTATGGATAGTCATCTAAAAAAAGATGAATTCTTAGATGTTGTGAAATTAGCAACAGTTGATGGTGGGTATTACAAATATTAAATTAAGAAGTATTCAAGGATAAATGTTGCTGTGTGTTTTTAGTGATAAACAAACAGATATGAAGTGAGATCTCACTGTGAGTGCAGCTTGTGTTTCTCTCATGCTTAGAGAATATTTTGTATATCTGAGAGCTACCCGTTTTTCCCTTGGGGGAAATATTTATTCAAAACTTTTGCTAATTTAAAAAATAGAGTTATATATTTTCTTTTTGTTAAGCATTTTGAGTTCATTATATATTTTAGATTAGTAGACCTTTTATCCAATGTATGATTTGAGAATATTTTCTCTCAATTCATGGGTGAGTGGTTGCTAGTTTCCTGCCTACAGTGTGTGTGTGTTTCTGTCTGTCTGTCTGTCTGTCTGTCTGTCTGTCTGTCTATCTGTCTATCTGTCTGTCTGTTGCTCAGTCTGGTTACTGTTGTTCTGACAACCCTTTTTATTTTGATGCAGTTCTGTTTGTCTATTTTTTCTTGGGTCAGCTATGCTTTTCAGGTTCTATCCAAGAATTCTCTGGCTAGAGAAGATGGCATGGAGCATTTTCTCTGTTTCCCCCTCAGCAGTCTTTTAGATTCAACAGGGGGTCTCTGTGACCTTCATGGCCAGCAGACAGTTTGCAGGAGGAAAGAAGGCAGTTCAGCTCAGCGTGACTCAGTAGCCAGTGCTGGTTCAAGCTTCTGGAGTTTGCCTCTAAGTGGTATATTTAAGTCCAGCACAATTTGGTGAATTATTCTGTTGACAGTTAATCAAATATTGCATGCACAGCTAAGCTAAATCAAGATCAGACGTGACTTCATCAAAACTCTTTGTAAAGTTCACAAAGATAGGCTCTATAGATTGATTGAGGAAAAACAAATTTATGATAAAGATCTGAGAGAGGGTCCAGTGTTGTATCCACACAGATAATGCAAAGGTCACGTCAAGTCCAGTCTTTTGGTTGGATAACTGGCTTTGCATTCCTTCCCTTGAAGGAACAACCCTGTGTGCTTAGTACTCCAGGTTTTTCTAGTGCTTATCTATGATCACAAAGATCTCCATGCCTCCTACAGATTCAGATCTCAATGAGGTGAAGTGTCTAACTACTGAAATGGTAATACATAGATTTAGGAACTATAAAAAAGTTCATATAATTTGGCTGTTTTATATAAAACATCAGTATCTATTTTTATTTCAATATCATCATGTTGTGTATACCAGTGAGAACAGCCTGGGAGACTGGGATTTGAGATCTGTTTGAGGCAGGGCTCATGCATATCATCTCAGCGTGTGTAGATAGTTGGAGGGGGAAGACTGAGGAGGCCAGCCTGGGCTGCATAGTAAATTCAAGCCAGCATGTACTACTTAGCAAGAACCTGTCTTTAAAAAGGTAAAGTATCTGTTCAAATTTTATGGTAATATTTTATTGTTACATTAGTCAGAATAGCTGACAGATTTAGAGGCAAAACCTTTGTAGTTAGGTAGATTCCAGATATTTCTAGAAGAAACAGGAAAATGTAGTGCAGTATAGGAATGCAATTTTATTACATAGTTCCTAGGAATTCAAGTGCTAATTTAAAACACATGCTGGATAAAAGGCAGGATATTATATTTGTAGCTGTATTTGAAACCTGTAAAGTAGGATTTTGACTGCTTGGGGATGTGCCTTGCCTGGCCCCTGTGCTTTGTTGTAGTTTGTGATCATCAGCTACAAGAATTCTAAATCTCTAACCTAAACTTCCTTGATAGTGGTTAGGAAAGTTGCTTCTGTCTCCCGTTTGTGCCTTGATAGTAGCCTGTTAGGTCTATGCTCCTCCATAAATAAAAGGGCGTCAGCCTTGTCAGACTTTATGTTCAAAGTGCCTTCAGGTTGTCTATCAAAATTTTCTTCTTCAGGCAAAGTCTGAACTAAAACTGAGACCTATCTCTTATTTTTATTTAGAAATATCTCTTATTTCTATCTACATTTAATGACTATGGATTGCATGGTTTCTCTTAATTGATGGAAATTGAGGACTCAGTTTAAATTCTGTAGTCTTTTCCCTCTTTCCATAAATCAACCTGTTACTAAAAAAAATATGATTCTTAAGCATACACCACATGATTTACATTTTTGTAGATCAGCTCATTGACTTACTTTTGTTTAGTGAGGGTAATCTAATAAAATATTTTTTCTCACAAAAGGTGACAAAGTACAACTTGATGAATTTTCAAAAGCAGTGAAGGACATGCGGGACACCGTCAGGCTAAAAGGTAAATTATGGGTTTGGAGTAGGGTGGGAGATGGCTTTGCAGATACAGTGTCACCATATGTGCCTGAGAATCTGAGTTTGGATCCTTAGAACAAACGGAAACCCAGGTAGATATGGCATCTGCCTATAATTCTAACTCTTAGAAGGCAGAGACCTGGGACACTTGGAGTAAATTGGTTAGCTAGACTAACCGTATTGATGGACTCTGATTTCAGTGGTGAGATCCTGCCTCAATGAATACAGTGAAGAGTGATTGAAGAAGACTCACTCAACCTTGACATGCATGTGCATATGTACACCTGCATCTCCATACATGTATACCCCCACACATGTGAACACGTGTGAAAGCATACCACACACGTGTAAAGAGGAGAATGGGAAAAAGGGGAGGGGGAAACAGGAGGAAGAGGAGAAGGAGAAAAGATACTGGAACTAAGATTGTAGCTTGGTAGAGCCCCTGTCTAATGTGCAAAGAGATCCTGGGTTCCATCCCCCAGTGATAGTTAAGAAGGAAAGAAAAAATGAAGGTAAGTAAATTATTTATGACTGTTTAAACTGATTATTTTGATAATTTGCTTTGATTTCTAGCTAACATATTTGCATTGTTCTGATGGAAGGCAGACGAAGCTTAGTTTGATGAGAAGTTGGCAGATTCTTCTAGGAGAAAAGGACTTTTTTAAAAATATAAAGCAGTTCACTGAAAGATCTATTAAATTCCATCTTCACTTCTTGGACTCTATAAGAAATCTACTTATTTTTAAGATTTATTTTTATTTTTTTTT